ACCCGTTTCAAACGGGCCGGGTAATTTCCGGTTCCTATTTTGAAAATTGTAATACCCGGACCAGACCGAACCGTACAATGGAACCGGCGGTTCCATTTTATTTTGCATTACCCGCCCCGACCCGGCCCGTGCCCAGCCCTACTTTGGACACATGGATGATACAATTACCATGTTGAATATAGGGGAGACAGAGAATCATAAATACTGAACGAATGGATGAATTACTACACGCTCCAGCTAGAATTGAGAAATCCCTGGGAACGCACAAGCTAAGACATGTAAATAGCTGAACTGCCCTGGCTGAAAATGGATTTTCTACAATGGAATTTTTGGTTAACCAATTAATGAATTAATGGTTAACCTATATTACGGTTAATTGTTACCTGGTTAACCGTATTTATGGTACGGTTAATGATATTATAAACATACTAACCGATATCTCGGTTAACCATAAGTTGGTTAACCGAAATACGGTTAACCAACCGTGCCCACTCCTAGCAACTGCTGCTTTGGCGTTGAGTAATATTGAATGTTCAAATGGCTAGACAACTTCCGCCAAAAGCAGTCATTTTAAATTCCTCTAGTACATCATCTTCCCCTCCCTCAATTAATTGGCGGGCTCTTCTAATGCTACAAGAATATACTGCTCGGCAGGCTGTCCTAATGAAACAAGCATTTAAATAATTATAGATTTCATTACTAACGCTCGATTTACTCATTCTTGATATCGTGAGAGATAAATGTTGTGATCTCTAATACGGAGTATTATTTTACATACGTAGTAATAAAATTGAGTTATAAATTAATAATCTGTCAGTTTCTTATTAGTTAATAAAAATTCTATTAATACTATTACCAAAAAATTCTATAATTCAGTATGTTTTTATAATTGATATTTTTAAAAATATTTGAATTGTTAAGCTCTTTTACCATTTTAAATAATTTTATATTGTGATTTTATGAACCGAGAAAATGAAAAACATGTTAGTTGTCAATTTGGAATTCGAAAGATGAAAATAGTCAATACAGGTCCGGTTATTGAAAATAGTCAATACAACTTGGGCTGCACATCGGGGTGGTTGGGTCGGGTTTGCTATATTTTTTGGGCCTACCCGATTTGTTCGGGTTGACTATTAACCAACCCACGGTACGCAAATAAGTTGGTAAACCATGCATGAACGGGTCGGGTAGGGTCGGGTATTAGGGAAAAAATTCACTTCGGGTTGCATCTTTCATGTGGGAAATTAATGTAACCATTTTAAAATTCGATTAACTTGTTTTCAAAACACACAAACAAATACAAGTACTCATATCTTTTATAAGCAAAAACATTAGGTAATAGTATTAAAACATCCTTCCATAAAAAAAGTTCATTTACAAGGAAACGTAAGTATATAATAATCACCTAGTCAAAATGATAAATGTTTAATTATAATTCTAATATCATAAAGTCCTAGATAAAGTACATTGGTCTTAAATTGAAATTATCCAAAAAAACGTTGTAGCATAATAATAGTAAAATGAACTTCGGCCGGGTCGGGTACTATCGGCTTTGAGATTTTAATTCTGCAACCCTACCCATTAGATGCGGGTTCAAACATATTTAACCCATGAATATTTTTAAAAATCAAATACCCGATTAAATAGGGTCGGGTAGAGTTGGGTCGGGCGGCTTATGCGGGTTCGGGTTATTCTTGTGCAACCCTAAATACAAGTCCCAAAGAGATGGTTGAAATGACTAATTGACCGATTCTGTTGATTTATGAAGAAATTATATTTAAAATATTTTTTATTAACAAAATAAAGAAAAACATATATGAAAATAGCTAAAATCACCATATACAATAATATTTCAATCAATACAATCAGAAAAATAACTTTAACCTAATTTTTTCCTATTATTACACAATTCAACGCTCAAAATCAGAAGTTGTGTGTTTAGTGAAAAAGTTGGCTGATAAGCTTCATAAACTAAAAAATATGGTCACCAAACGAACTTTTAGTGTATCATGTTTCTAAATAAAAGTCAAAGAGTACATGATTATGTGAAGAGTACATATTTACTGCGTATACAATTAATTTTATACTATCTTTGTTCCATTTTATCTAGCCATCTTTGATTTTTTCAGTCAAAGATAATAAACTTCGATTCCTTATTTTAACAAATACTCTGTATATTTATGTGAAACTTAATAAATTTATATTTTTATGATAATACTTTTAACAAGAAACATTTTGATATAATTTTCATTTTATCAATACTCCCTCTGTCCTAGAAAATTCTTCACACTTTGACTTGGCATGGAGATTAAGAAAGTGGAATAAAATGGAAATGTATGATTGTGGTTGTGTAAGAAAAAGGTGAAATGAATGTGAAGCACACAAAATGTCCAAAAATGGTAATTGGGAAGAATTTTTTGGGACGTCTCAAAAATAAAAGTGGGAAGAGTTTTATAGGACGGGGGGCAGGGGCGGATCCATGATTTCATGTTGGACTGGGCTGAAAAACTTAATTGATAATACATTAAAAAATTTCAAAATAAGAATATATATATATATATATATATATATATATATATATATATATATATATATATATATATATATAAGAGTTCTCCACTAAATTTGTTCTCGACGAAGCTTTGAAACAAAAAAACTCGTCAATTATAGAGTCTACATCTATACTAAGAGTATGATCTTTTTCAATATAAAGTGTATTGCAATTAACAAAAAAGTCATCATCCATTTTGTCGCGGAGTGTTGTCTTTAAAAGTTTCACGGCAGAAAATGATCATTCTATTGTTGTAGTGAAAACAATAAGATCAATACAAAGCGAATCAATATGATGATCATAACATATGAAACAGATCTTTTGCTCTTAGTCAACTGCTCACATAATTCAACAAGTGTAGATACTCAAAACTTTGTATCATGAATCACATCATGAGCATAGTGTTGTCGCTCGAATTCAAAAGCATTACTAAAACCTTCAGGATAGAACTTCCTTGCAAGAGATTACAAATAGCATCGGCATTGAATGACACATATGAACTTTCGGGATCCAATGAAGCACTCAAAGAAAGGAATTTGATCCATTGATTTGTCATTAAACCGAGTCCTTAACTTCAACAATACAAAGTCTATTGCCTCATTGAAAACATCAAAATGATAATGAATGCTCAAATGTAGTTTCTTCTCGGCAATGACCAACCATATATTTAGAATTCAATTTCGGTACAAGAATTTCTTTTTTGAGCAAAACTCCTTTGCTTCTTCAAGAAAGCCTTCACATCCATTTTATGTCACTTCCCCGAGAATGAGTTGTGTAGTACAAACATGTCTCATTGCTATCAAGATATCCAATAATTGTTTGAAGGTCTTGACAAATTCAAAACATGGAAAGTGTCTATATACACTATGAACTTCTGCCCAAGAACTCACTTTTGGGCAATGTTCTTGAATATACTCAAACACTTTACAAGTTGATGTGAATCATATTTGAATCATATTTTATTGTATTTATTACATTTATTCCTTTTGGGCTTTACGGCCCTTATACGATGTACAAAAGTGCCTCTTGTTAAGTGGAATGATTTTGTTTTATGGGTTGGGCTGAAAAATTGGATTGGGCTATAGAAAAATTTGGGCTGGGCTGGATAGAATTTTGTGAAAATAATATCTTAAAAAAATTAATTTTTTTTTTTACTTTGCCCTGGGCTTCAGCCCACCATAGCCCTAACATAGATCCTCCCCTATCAAAGTTAAACATCAATGATCTAGAAAATATTGTTTGACTAAATAAAAAAGGATGAAAGGAGTATCTATTTTCTTAGGGAATATTTGTTTGACCGTGTATCGCACAGATATTATACTAGTTTACTCTAAAGACATACTCCGTACTTCGTACTCCGGTATAATTTATATCAATAAAGCATATATTTACATAAATAATAGGTACAGTAATCACATGCATTTATACATTCATAATATCATTTACCATATAAATATGTATAATATGTCACTTTTATATTGAATATGAATCCATTATAGGGGTGTTTGGAATTGATTATGCTTGTGTTTCTTTTTTAAAGTAGAAGCAGAATCAGAATCATTTTTCAGAAGCTGATCTCCCTCATGCACTTTCTTCCAAATCAACTTCTAAAAAAATTGATTTTAGGAGTAATTAAATTAGAGCATCAGAATCACTTATGCAGTTATGCACTTTCTTCCAAACACTTAAACTTCTGTTTCTGCTCCCTGAAGGAGCAGAAGCAGTTTTAAGAATCAGATTCAAACAACCCATAGTCAATTGACACTTGAGAATAATAGAGTCACACATTTTTCACATATAATACATTATTTACGAACCCTGTACAATTTCACATGTGGTAATACCTTTTATAACATCACACTACCTGTCATTTGTACCCTATAATTAATAATGCTTGTGAACTATTAGTTTGATTTTTCATGCAAATTAAACATACACTCCCTCACTAGATAACATTAATACGATTTTAATATGTAATGACTATAACAATTAACAACAACTTCCTTTACACCACAATGATCATGACAATATGTTATGATCATGACAATATGATCATGCTATTTTCCAGATGTTAGGTTACAAATATGTTATGAAAGCCGTACTAGGTAATACTACCTCCGTTCTTAAATAAGTTCAACATCCTAAATTTTACACTATTCACATGTTCTACTTTGACTACGTTTAATTAAATAATGTATTAATATATTTTCTTGAAAAAGATATTGTTCAATTTGTATCATTGTAAATTTTCAAATTCTATTTTTTTTCATTTTTTTACTAATAAAGAATTATACATATTAATGGTCAAACTTGTGTCTCGACAAGTGTGAAATATTGACTGTTGCACTTATTTAAGAACGGAGGAAGTATTTATTAAGTATATCCTCCTCACTTTTGAGAGTTAAAACATGTGAGAGAAATACAAGAACTCCAACTATGGATTAGTAATTAGGCAACTAATTAATACAGTAATGTTAACTAACTATTTATTTATACTACGTATATAATAGTAGTAGGCAGTGTAATTAGTAGTGTATTAGTAAGAGTAGTTACTAGTTTTACCCCTGTGGAAAACTCAGATAATTTGTACACCAAAAAGCTTAAACCCAGAGGGCATCTCTGCCTCATTTTCAGTTTCCACTTCTAACCCTTCTTTCTTCTCGTTGAAATTCTTATAAATGCCCTCCTTTGTCGTATTTCCTTCATTGGTATTTTTTGCCTTTGAATTGTCATTATTGAATTCCACGTCTACGACGCAAATAGTCCGTCTTCCTGACCCGTTTTCCTCCGGACAGTCGTAGGCGGAGAAAACCACCATATCTCTCGCGCCAATTCCTTTGTCTTTAACGAACCGGTTCCAACCCCGAGTGAACACAAAGCTCTGGCTGCTTTTCCAGTAACAGTACCTGAACTTCCAGGATCTCATCGATTTGTCGTAGAAGACGAGCTCCATGTCTTGATCTCCGCCGGCGCTGGATTCCTCGCCGTTCATATTCTCCGGCGTAATCGCCGGCGTGCGAGGAAAAAATTTGAGCGCGTATTTCTTCGGGATCACGAGCCGGTTCAACTTCCCGACGTCGCTCGGGGTCAGCTCTTTCTTGAAAAGCTCCCTCAAAACCGAACCGGGTTCGTTCCCTGCCCGCGGTGGGGGGGCGGCGGTGGCGGTTTGGATCCCGGCCTGAGCGGTTCGTTGCTGGCAGAATTCCGAGAATTTGGGGACGTAGGATCCGTCTTTGATCATCTTGAGGATTTCTTCGGTTGAGAATTGATTTTGAAAATTGGGTTCGTGAAGGGTGAGGCTGGTCCAGGCGAAGTTCCGGTGGGCGTCGCCGCTGCGGAGGCGGATGGCGGCGCTGTCGTAGGCTGCAGCGGCGTCCTCCTCTGTTTTGAAAGTTCCGAGCCAAATCCTCTGGTGGTTGGCGTAAATCTGAGCCCCCCAGTTTCCGCTCTGCTGGCCGACGACTCCCTTGAACCTTGATGAAGTTATGTTGCCGGCGGCGTTTGGGTCCGCCCTCGGCCGCTTGTGGCGGTGGCTTTGTTGGCCGGTGGAGCTGAGAGAATCAGAGGGTTCCGATATCAAATTTGTAGTGCCGCTAGCAATTATCTCCTCCATGGTCAAATCTTGGGCTGACCAATGGCATCATCATCAAGAATTACAGTGATTTTAGAATCAAGAAGTGTATGAAAGATCACATACTTTTGGTCCCTATCCAAGAAATTATTTTCTTTAGGCTGAACTAGAAAAACAGGGATATGTACATATTTTGGATACATTTTTAGTGGTTGTCGCTATTAAAGTAACATTTGTAACATTTTAGGGGTTGTCACTCGTATAACTGACGAGAAAAATTGTCATATTAAGAGACTGTTGATAGCACGAAAATTGGCTGTTTTGGTTGATTCTGCTGAAATTTATGAAGTTCTGGCTGAAGTGATTGTTTTGGTTGATTCTACTGATTTAAGAAAAAAATATTTTTAAAATATATTTCATTAATAAAATAAAGAAAAATATGTATGTAAAAATAGCTAAAATGGTCATCTACAGTAACTTCAGCCAATACAGTCAGAAAAGTAACTTCAACCTTACTTTTTCTGCTTATTACACAATTAAGCGTGCAAAAACAAAAGTCACGTGTTTGGTAAAAAAAGTTGATTGATAAGCCTGATATGTCGAAAACAGTGTTACCAAACGGCCTCTAAATGAGGAATATAAGGGAATTTTGATTCACACATCATATTTAGGCGGTATTTGATTTTCACCATATTTTAACTCTACACAACATAACATTCCTTCATACGATAGTATTTTTTAAGACAATGAGATGCACATTAATGACTTTGAAAATGTGGTATAAAGTTCGATACAACAATAACATTACTCTCATGCTACAGAATTCAATGTCGCGCCAAAAATGGCGTGCAAACCGCAAAATCAAATTCCCCAAATTTTATTTCATTTTCCTTTTTTCGTATGTACTTTTCAAATATCTATGAAATCTATGTCATAAAAAAACTTTGTAGTTTATTTCCGTAAAATTGCCTTTAATATGATAAGTTCAAGGGCTAATAACATACATACACATGCGTAAGTTATGGTATCCGATAAATCAATTTCTCACAATGAATTTGACAAGCATGGAAAATTTGCTTACTTAGCCCTTTTTCTGTTATATTTGGCATAATATCCCACAAGGAGTATAATTTGCTTACTTAGCCCTATATCTCTTTGTTTGTGCATGCTGTAGTTAGGTAACATCACCAATGTTGAGACATGATGAGGTGTTGCAGTTATTAAGAAAAATAAGTTTGTGTGGTTGATATCAAATTGATAAAATAAGAATGATTTAGAATCAAACAGACTTTATTAAATTTGGTATGAAACAATCTTAGTGCGACGAATCAAAATGAAAAGTTTGGACAATTTTAGTGAGATGAAGAGGGTAACAAACAAGCTTGCAACCATAAAAAGTTTTCCAACAAAATGCACAATTTTTGATGAAAAAATCACTAGAAATGCAACGAAAAGAGTAAACTTTGCTGGAAAAATTCTTTGAAATTATTATTTACAAGATGTTAAAATCACACACCAATAGATTATGAAGTAATAACATGATATATTATGATATTAGAAAAATTACTAATCATCCTATCAGGTTGATTTTTATGATAGAACCCTATGACATAACATGCTATTATAAATTAAGAAACAACTCCATAATCATGGTGTGCATGAGCCCCTAAGAAAAATGCCAACATGACTATAAAAATATGAAAATGATGAAAAAAAAAATAACAGAACAATCCAGTTATCCAGATGAAATGTATGATGGTGAGAAGGGACGTTGATGTCCCACATCGATAAATTATGAAAAAAATACTATATTAGAAGAGGGTTTTACCCATAAAATAATGTAGAAATATGAGATGTGTACAGAATATTCTCACATGTCATTGTAGGTTTTAGTTGAAAGTGCCAATCTAATATGTTGGTTCATGTGGTGTCTACAATATGTTCATTAGTTATATTATGTTTGCGGCATATTGAACTACAATGAACAAATTTTTTCAAACAATTTTGTATTTTGTATTTAAAACATTGAAAAGAATTCATATCATTAAAAAGGTAACATACACTTCAAGGGATGAAAGAGCATTGTTGTAGTACCTGGGAATTGGGAAACCGGGTCCAAACTTCAAATTCATTGTAATGATGATGAAAAATTCAACAAGGTTTTTATATAATGGAAGACCAAGATAACAACATTAATTACTTTCCTTTGTTTAAGTAGTAATCAAACCATTCAATCTTTTGAAAAATATATTGGCACTTCGCAATTGATGCTTTTTTCCTTTTGGAAGTTTACTGTTGCATTGAATCATCAACTTCTAAGGTAACAAAATCCTTTCGTAATTATTACCATATCCTAACATACCAAAAATGCTACAACTTCGTGTCTTTTTTGTGGTAAAAGATTGTTTTATGTTTTATGTATATTTGTACCTTAAATATAAATTTTCTAAAGTTACGCAATAAGCAAATAATCCGTACGGAGTTCTATTTTTGGAATGGAGTATGGTATAAAATGATTCTGCCGCAGGGCATGCATTTATATTCCAACATCAGAGAACGACCGTGAACAAGAGAGAATATTGTACGTTGCTACAAGGAAAAACTTTAGTCCATAAATTAATTTAATAGGGAGTAATTCTTTTTTAATGACAATTGACAACAATACTAATTAATTATATACTCCTACTATACCATGTTTGATAGAAATAAGTCCCTATTTTCTATATTTTGTAATATTTAAAAAGTCACTACAAGTTTATTTCCGTTGTAACAAAAAAAATCACTACAAGTTTATAGTTGTCTGTTTTGTTGGACAATTTTTAAGAAATTTTATCAAAATAAAATATATATTTTTGAAGCTACACCGAACACCATCCGACAAAAGTTTGTAGTTTTTACCATTAATTGCTCACAACTTGTGTACTAAATAAAATAAAATCAAACAGTCAATTTTTATCAAACAATATTGCATTTTTCGTTTAAGATTTTTCAATCACCGAAAACTACTCCGTAATAATTACTAAAAAGCTCAAAAAAATGTATTTTCAAAAAAAAAATCATACAAGCTAAGGTTGAATCCCAAAGCCTAAAGACCCTCAGGATGTTTTCTTTTGGACTGAAATTTGCTGGTCTGGTCTGGTCCGATCTGGTCTGAACTGGTCTGGTCTGGTAAACATCTGGTCTCTGTGTATTTTATAACTACGGAAGTCTGGTCTGGTCTGGTCTGTGTTTAGGTCTGGTCTGGTCTGGGACTGAAAACAGTCCAAAAGAAAACATCCTCAATCCTGACCCGATAGAACGAGAGATTATAAATCACAGTGACTCAATAAGTTATAATGATAGTAAACCTTATATTCATGTACACTAGAGGCACATGCAGCACAACACACATAAGTTGTGACTTCCACACTGCCGTTGCGAGTTTTGATCCTCGCTCATTCATCCAAAGTTCCAAACATTCCACCCTTTTTCAATTGTTCTACGTTTTCCACCACAAGTTCATTACTTTATTTACTTATGAACTAGAGACATTCAATCCTAGAGAGAAGGAGAAAGCATCTCCTAAGAGATGCTTTGGTTATATATATAGCTTGTGATAGTTATGTATATCATAATTTTGTTTAAGACGAACTGGACGATGAACTAATTTGCACAAACTTTGCACACAATTTTGTATCATTGTATGTGAAGTATTTAAAGGATTTAAAGGTCACACAAACAATGGAGTTTGATGAGAGTACCTGGGAAACCAAGTTGAAGCTTCGTTTGCATTTTGCATGAACCAGGCAGCGATATTATTGTATATACAAATAATAAAGCTTAGCTTCCAAGATATCATATGATTAGAGGCTGCTGATATAACTATAAATAACTTCCTTTATCGATGGATGGAGTAACAATTATATAATTCTATTGCATGTTTATGTTTACATAAAATAAATAGTTCCTATCTTTAGTAAGTAAACAATTATACAGATTTTTCATAAATACTCCGTAACTTTTATTGTTTCCATCTTTATCAAGTAATGATTGCATAATTAGTTCTATCGTACTGATTTTTAGTAACTTTTGTAAGTAAACAATTATACAGATTTTTCATAAGTAAATTTTATTGTTTCTATCTTTATCAAGTAGTGATTGCATAACTAGTTCTATTGCAAAAACCCCTTAGTTCTATCGTACTGGTATAGTTGAAGACTTGAAGCATGGTATTCAATTCAAGGAAACAAAATCTCCCCCATATTTACGTACAATCATACGAACATACCAAAAATAATATTGTCACTAGAAAACTACTAGTACAATAATAGTGTAATATAACTCCCTAATAATTAGATAAAATAAATTACATTTCATGACAAAATTCGTGACAATAATTGGACAATCTGCAGATGTCCTATTTAGGGCAATTTATTCAAAAAAAATTGTAAATTTAATGCACGATCTCAAAGCTTATTATTCTTCCCCATTATAATTCTGAATTCATATTGATATTTTTCTTGTAGACGATTATACAAAATAATCTCATCAATATTAGGGGTGGGCATGATTGGTTAACCGCATTTTGATTAACCAATTTTTTGGTTAACTGTGATTTCAGTTAATATTTCTATAATATCATTAACCGTACCCTATCATTGGTTAATTGGGTAACAATTAACCGTAATATAGGTTAACCAATTATTGGTTAACCAAAAACCCATTTGAACAACTTAAAAAGTGTGCCGCCTCTTATAATTGAACATTTACTGCAAGAGATTTCACTGATCCGTAAGAATCCAATATAGGCTCCCGTAGAAGGTTTTCCCATATATTCTGTATTACTCTTTTTTTATAATTTTTTTTTTTTTAATGTTTGAAGGGAAGTGGGATAAAAATTAGATAAAAACACCCAATTTAACTAAAAAACGTACTCCATGTAGGGAAAACTGGTACTCCGTATTATGCACTGAAGCGTTGCATATATAGTGTTCCAAGACATACCTCAATTGTGATAGTGCCGTATGACAAATTAATTAATTAATTAATACGGAGTAACTAATAGTATTAATAACAATAATATAGCTCCAATTCCAATAAACCATCACTTTTTGCTGGACAATAACATTAATGGTTTAATGCACATGTTGTCGTTCCCAGACCCACCGACTGGCGCAATACTTGACTGAGTGACTGACATTAGTTTAGATGTAATATTTAGATGGTTGGTTAACCGGTGGCAGTTTAGTTTCTGTAAGAGTCTCGTGTACTGTTGTTTCTGTTGGTTAACCGTACCATGAATTTTTAATAACATGGTATGGTTAACCGGGAAGAACACCGGTTTTTCAGTTGTTTAGTATGATTAATCGGTTACGGT